GTATATACATATTGTGTGTGTGAGTGAGTGTGTTTGGCACAGATGGCTGTGTGGTCTCTCGCGTTGCAAATTGTCTAGTACATAATTGCATACTATCATACCAAGTGGTCGGTATACATCAACAGGGCTTTCTTTCACACACCGTCACTCGTACATACCTTGAAAGTACTTTATCCTTTCCATCCATGGTTATATATTTTTACGGTGTTTGTATTGATTGAAAGGTATCGAAGTTTAATCCTGGTGTCCACGGTTGCTGAGTTCTAAGTGTGCATGGACGGCACTTTCAGAGCCTATTATATACGGATATCCGCAATATCTTTGTATCTATGTTCACAACATTCTCCATCTGCTTATGAAGTGGTGAGATCTCTGAGTCCTTTCCTTGTATATTGTACTGGCGTGTATGTATCTAGTACTTCACAAACACACACACACACACAATGCGTGATAGAGGCCATGTGAAGAACTATAGGGACTTGCCGGTATGCTTATATACTAATCAATACAGAACATATATACGTGCCCATAACATATGCGTACGATAAGTGTGTCGGTATGTACAATATGTCAACACACATCCACAGACCACACGCCACAATCCAGCGTGAATCCACTACAGCAGCTGCAAAAGCGCTGCAAAGTGTAACTAGTGAATACCAACTACTACTCTCGATGAGTCAACTTGTCAAGGGTAGCCAATGCGAGGCAGTTGATGACGCCGGGAGATGTCAGATTACCCCTACTGAGTGCTAACTACATACATTAACAATTTATCATAACCACACAGAGACTGAAAAATAAGGTACCGAACCTCTCCACGCCCTTGACGACGGGTGCAGACGAAAATAAATAAATAAATAGAGTTGGTGAGGTCACAGGTCACGATTTACAGAGTTACAGTCACGGGCCACCGGGGAGCCTTTTTGTGATCACATTATTAAATATCACAGCCAACAAACATAGGGCAGCACAGTGTATGCGTATAAGTGTGTGTACAGTGGTTTTAGTTACTGCTGTATTGAAATACACGCACACGACGACACACTCCGTTGTCCCCATTCCTATCAGTTGCTGAGCGAACTATATGTGCCGGTAAATAGACTGGTACATTTAGCTTGTTATTTATAGCTATAGTTACAACATGCACACAATGAGGTGCTTAAGGAATTGGGGCCTGAGTGCTTTGGTACTATGTCTCAGCGTACTGTCAGTATGCCAGGCGAAGGCAAATACATACAAGGATGGGCAGAAGGTCGACATATATGTGAATACGGTATGTATATACAAGTGTGTGTACAACATTACCGGAGATGATTATGTGTTATAATCATATACTGTGGATAGGTATATATATACATGTGTGTGTGCGATATTACCGGAGATGATTATGTGGTAGTATCATATACTGTGGATGTATTATATATAGGGTTTGATATTACGCAAAGAGCGTTGCAAGTTGTCTTTGATTGTGATATCGATCGCACGCATGTGTATCACACATCGGGACAAACGAACTATCGGATGGCACAATCGTCGCATACCTAGCTCGTTGGGTCACTTCATTTCAGTGTCATCACATGCAGTTGTAAATGCGGATTTTCAAGTGAAATTGCTACAATGTGATGTTCCAGGTAATGTGAGTAGTTCAAATAGGAATCAAAGTTTTCTCAAGTCATGCCTAAGGCGGAAGGGACATACGAACGCACTCAAACACTCACACACACATATATATATATCTATATATATATATATCTATATATATCTATATATATATACATATATATATATATATATATATATACATGCTATTATATATATATATACATACATATTATTTTCACACTATATATATAAGTTATAT